TACACCATTTGAGATAAAATATTCAAATCAGCTCTAAAATTGTCTAAATATTATTCTTAAATATTATTCTCTATAATGCACAAGCTTTGTTTTTTACAGTTATTCCTTTGTTGATTTTATATACAGTAATGAATTCATATTTTCAGTATATCGGGTACACTGTAAACACTTAAATGAATTAAACTCTTAGGCCATTTGAGATAAAATATTCAAATTTATGCCTTATTTATGTCTATCTGACATATTTTTGTCTTAAAATATAAGAGGAGCAAAGAATTTAACTGGTTTGAAACCGAATGTCCAATAAATGTCAAACGTCAAATTAACTTTACCTCGGTCTAGAGCTTTACATGACACTAACAGGAATTCTGAATGCAAGTTTTGGAAAGGCAGTTTTTTTGAAAGATGAGGATTGCAAGATGAGGGTAAATTTAGTTGTGTCAACAATAAACAATAGTATTATTATGTAAACATGTCCTGTTTCTGTTCCTCCTAGCAATTACTTTTCACAACGTTGCATTTTGCTACTGTATACCATCCCTCACGAAAATGTCCATGTTTTCATTGTGAAAATATATTTACCAATGCTTTGTTTTTGTTTCTGTCAGATTGATCAGTTTACCAACCTATAGATCAGGGGTGCCCAATCTTTTTCTTATGAAGGGCCAAAATCTAATCTTGATTGAGAGCTGTGGGCTGAAAGTAAATATAGCACACTGTATTACATCAAAATTGCAATGGGTAATTTCCTAATTTATTATTTCATAATAATACTTCAACCATACCAATGCATCATTTTTTTTTTTAAAAATATATATTATTTTAACGAACATATTACAATAAAAGCATAAACAAAATTCAATTTATAAGACAATGGAGTTCAATGCTGAATACACAAGTCATGCTAAACCTGCATTTGCCTTGGTTTGCACCCTGATGTCTTCTGCTTTGTCCCCTATTGATGACAGTATGTACATTTTAAAAAAAATCTGATTCATTTGCAAAATTTAATTGAAACATTTCATTTCAGTTAGTTTTGTTTTGTTTTGTAGCTCAACAGTAAAACAAAAGGTTAGTAAAGGCTTTGTCCAACCCTTCCCATTCCCAATCATTTCCCTTCTGACAGACTTACTTACTAGTGTAGCAGTACATGGGTGATATGGGGTTACCATTTATTTAGTTAAGTCATGTTAATATTCACAATAATAATGTCAATTAAAAGCATAGACTATTTCCCCTATAATAGTTATATTTAATGTGGTAAAGACAATGGAGTAGTGAGCAGAACCCCCATTTTAGTTGGTCAGTGTTGTTTTACATTTACGTTTTTGTTGTTTATATAATGTCGAAATAAATTCAGAGCCAGTTAAAGTGTGTGGGTATTTTATAAGAAATGACGTTACCGATCAGTCCCCCGATTAGCCAAGCAGCGTGTGTCTGTCTCTTTAATAGGCGAATTACTCCCGATCCGCCTCTTCCATTTAAGGGCACATTTACTTTTCTCGGCCGAGAATAAGTCTTCCTGGTTTCATGATAGAGTAGGCTGCCTTCCCCTTTAAATGTGTTTTGGACCCATGCAAAAGTTGTGGTCACAGGATTGAAATAACTAACGCGATTTCCAGAGGGAGATTCAGTTAGGAGGGAATCCTTTATAATTTCGCCGCGTTTCAGCGCATCAGGTAAGCGAACTCTCTCCATGTTTGGTCCGCCCTCCTTTGCTTTTCTTAAGGAACTGACAATGACAAGCATCGAGTCTTGGTGAACACAGCTGTGCTGGAGCTGCACAAGCATTACGCACCGACCTTCAAATTAAGCAGCTTGATTTATAGGTATGTTATATACTTTATCGACACATTTTTAAGCCAGCGATGAATCTGATATGACAAGGTTTCAAGTTTGTCTCGTTAAGTAACGTTAAAAGCTTGAGATGAGGTGTTGCATACTGTCAATGTGACGCTCAAAGGCGCGTTATTACGCTGCTATGTACAGCTTCAACCACACATTCCACATATACGACAGATATTTTTATATCTCGTGGCATTTCAGAGGTGATAGAAGCTTTATTATGAAGTGCCATGGATATGGCGAACAAATACCCGGCTTGTCTCCATCTTAGACAGCAGAACCATTTGGCTGTTTTATTTTCGCTTATCTGTCACGTTAACGTTACATAATTTATTTATGCGGTGACAATTTATTGAACATTCCACGAATACGGTTGACTACTCTTTGACTGTCAAGGATTAAATAAGAGGCATTCGAGGCATGCACCTACATTCTTGTTTTGCTTTGTTTCCTATCTATCTATCTATCTATCTATCTATCTATCTATCTATCTATCTATCTATCTATCTATCTATCTATCTATCTTATATTATATCATATTATACCCTTAAAATAAGGATTTGTCCTGTTCTAGTGGAGAGGGCAGCCCCTTATGACTTAACATTTCTAACAATTTAAGTCAGTCTAACAATCAAATCAAATGCCATATTGTCATATTTTCACTGTAAATTAAAAAAAGATATACATTATGTATTTTTTTCCATCCTATTTCATTTATATTTGAAAACATTTTTAGGAATGTGGTACAGAATGCATATAATATGAGAATATGTGTCTATTTCCTTAAGTACCTATTTACGAAATAAAGCAGTGTGAGTGTAATCTGAACATGTCTACCAATTTTGTTATTGTTACGTGACCCACTAGCACCACTTGACTGCCTTTTACCAACTCTCTCTCTCATGGCATCATGTAGTTTGTAGATGATCCACCCACTTTTTGTCTACACTGTTTGTGAGTACTGTGTATTTGTATGATTTATGATCTCAAATTAGCTAGCCCTTTTTCATCAAGGCAATTTACGAAAAACAAATCTTAACCATAAAAATATGACATGACATGACATGACAATGAAGGTGAGTCTGTCTGTCTGTCTTGATTTAACAGTTCTAACAATCAAATGCTATATAGTCATATTTTAATTGTGAATTAAAAAAGATACATTAAGTATTATTTTCCATTCTTTTTGTTTAAATTTGATTAAATTCCAGAAATGTGGTACAGAATGCAAGTAATATGAGAATACTTGTCCAAAAGGTATCTATCTATCTATCTATCTATCTATCTATCTATCTATCTATCTATCTATCTATCTATCTATCTATCTATCTATCTATCTATCTATCTATCTATCTATCTATCTATCTAATTATATTATATTATATTATATCAATTATAATATACCCTTAAAATAAGGATTTGTCCTGTTCTAGTGGAGAGGGCAGCCCCTTATGACTTAACATTTCTAACAATTAAAGTCAGTCTAACAATCAAATCAAATGCCATATTGTCATATTTTCACTGTAAATTTAAAAAAGATATACATTATGTATTTTTTTCCATCCTATTTCATTTATATTTGAAAACATTTTTAGGAATGTGGTACAGAATGCATATAATATGAGAATATGTGTCTATTTCCTTAAGTACCTATTTACAAAATAAAGTAGTGTGAGGGTAATCTGAACATGTCTACCAATTTTGTTATTGTTACGTGACCCACTAGCACCACTTGACTGCCTTTTACCAACTCTCTCTCTCATGGCATCATGTAGTTTGTCGATGATCCACCCACTTTTTGTCTACACTGTTTGTGAGTACTGTGTATTTGTATGATTTATGATATAGCTAGCCCTTTTTCATCAAGGCAATTTACGAAAAACAAATCTTAACCACAAAAAAATGACATGACAATGAAGGTGATTCTGTCTGTCTGTCTGTCTGTCTGTCTTGATTTAACAGTTCTAACAATCAAAATCAATCTAACAATCAAATGCTATTGTCATATTTTAATTGTGAATTAAAAAAAGATACATTAAGTATTATTTTCCATTCTTTTTATTTAAATTTGATTAAATTTTAGAAATGTGGTACAGAATGCAATCTATCTATCCATCTAATAATATAATTATTATCTAATTTTATATTATTATATTATATTATATTATATTATATTATATTATATTATATTATATTATATTATATTATATTATATTATATTATATTATACCCTTAAAATTAGGATTTGTCCTGTTCCAGTACAGAGGGCAGACCATTATGACTTAACATTTCTAACAATTTCAGTCTAACAATCAAATCAAATGCCATATTGTCATATTTTCACTGTGAATTAAACGTTATGTATTACTATTTTCATCCTTTTTTTATTTTGATAAAATTTTAGAAATATAGAACTGAATGCATGTAATATAAGAATGTGTCCAAAAATGCCTCAAGTACTTATTTGAAAAATAAAGTAGTGTGAATGTAATCTGAAAGTATTAGATCTGCCAATTTGTTACCGTTACTTGATCAACTGTTACTTTTACATAATGACGCACCACTTCACTGCCTTTTTACAAATTCTCTCCTATGGCATCATGTAGTTTGTAGATGATTCATAATGTATGATCTCAAATTAGCCAGGCCTTTTTTTAAATCTATATATAAAACAAACCTTACCAACAAACAATGGCGTCATGTAGAAAGTGATTTTATTTATTTACATATCCCCAAACCCATTTGTGGATGTTAATAATAGAATCTAAGAGGGTGTTCTATACTAGTTGTATTGTGCATTTGATTCAGTGTTGCATCTTTAAATGTGTTACCATCAATTCATCATTCTCCCCCTCCATTGTTTTTTGTGTCTTTTCAATTTAGTCAACAGTTGAGCTGCTTTAACTCATCTGCCGGTGTTAAAGCAGGATAACCGGCTGTGGAATGGCTTTGCTGACTCTGCACAGAGCGCCGTCTATTTGCACAACACCGGTGAGTTTTATTCCATCTGATAATGCAATGCTTTTCCAAAATACTGCAGAATGCAATTCTCCAATGTTTGCGCGTCAACGTCAAGTTCTCCGCACATTCCTTCACCTTCCTCCCACTCTCTCTATGTTACCCTAAACCGTTTTCTGTACGCAAAATTAATGTATAATTAGGAGGAATGTCTTCTATGTGGCTTTCCAAAATGTGCTGTGAAACTGAATATGAAATCCATTTCACGCCGCTCCAAAAATAAGGCCCTAAAATGAATAACTTCCATATTTTGAGGGAATTTGGACAATGTCTTTTAATCGTTTTCTATTTATGTTGATTGTCTGGGTTTGTATTCATTTATCTAGCACAACATTCCTTTTCCCACCCATAACCCATGCATACTATGTCTATCTTCTTCTTCTGTAACTATTTTGAGTAAAGCCTCGCAGTTGGTTTAACCTAAAACCTCAATGGCCCTCCTCTTCCACCCTCTCTTTCTTCTGTTTCTTCTTGTCTCTGTCTGGACACGTCAGTCACATAACAGGTAATGTTACTGTCTCCTCTTTCATTCCATAGAAGCACTGATAACAGCCTCTTCGGTGTCCTTCTCTGTCTTGCTATCTGTTTCTCACTTTATCGCCTTCAGTATGTGCTTCCTCAGTGTCTTATCATACTGCTGCTGCATTACACTTGACTATTTTTTTGGGGTCAAAATGCACTGTCATTGTATATCCGGGTTCCTTTTTTTCTATTTTCATCTCAATCACTCAGCTCAGAGTGGGTTATGGGTGAGAAAAAAGGCTGACAAGCCCTTCCCAGGTGCAAGCTTTTATCCAGCTTTGCTTTTGTGGGGCACACATAGAGTCAGATGATCCAACCGATTCAGTCCAGTAGAAAACAAACAAGTGTTTGTTTGCAATTGAAGTGCATCACATAATCCGTTCACCCACCACACATTTTTAACATCACCATTCTCTGGGTAAATCTTAAGAGTTTTAATGTTCCTAATTTAATCTGCTGTCTTTTATTTTCAAGGACGAGCCTATCCCCAGACGAGGAAGACTTCAGAAAAGGTGAGCGTTTGATTGTAGCTCTTTAATCATGCATGCGTATTTCATCCAGAAATGGTTAACTGATTAATCTTTAATTTCTGCGCACCAGAGAAAGTTTCGCCCTGGTTAAAGGGGCCGTGCTCCTGGTGGAAGAAGAAGAGAGAGAGGGATTACAAGAAGAAACCGTATCCCCTCGTCTGGGTCCTCGGCACGGAGGCCAAGCTTCTGACACTCAACGCAGACATTTGCATGCAATGATTTCATTACTGCGACCTGAAGACACAGTCAAACTGGTGAGGATGGCACAAGATAAACCTGCACACTCAAATATGAATCTAGAAATATGATTATATTAAAGTCTAGAAAAGTGGTAAAATAATGCGTGAAACAATCCATAAAAAAAATCTGAATATAATATAGATAAAAATTTTTATAATCACAAATAGAGCTGCACAATATATTTCAGTATGAATATTTTCACTAGATGACTCTATTTGCAAAGAATGTCTAATTTTACATTGTTTAGAAGGATTTTTTTTTTATTTAAAAATGGTTTAAAATTATTCGCCCTCCTGTGAAATGTTTTTTTTTTAAATTTATTTATTTTAATTTTTTCGCTATTTCACATACTTCCCAAAAGATGTCTATCAGAGCAAGGAATTTTTCACAGTATTTCCTATAATAGTTTTTCCTCTGCAGAGTCTAATTTGTTTTATTCCGTATAGAATAAAAACAGTTTAAAAAAATTTGAAAAACATTTTACGGTCAATCCCTCTTAGACAATATTTTTTTCTATTGTCTACAGAGCAAGCTACTGTTATACAATGATGTGCGATGTGGCTGTATATCAACACTGGTGTAAGGGGTGGGTTAGTGTCCCACTGGTGATGATATACAGCCAAATCGCACTACTGCTACTTGTGTGAAATTGCATTTATACGACAGTTCGACGGCATATAAAATATATATATATATATGTATATAAAATCAAACACAAGTCTAAAAATCCTATCGTAAGAGGGACTACTTTCTTCTGCCATTCATTCACATCTGCAGCTGACGCCAGAACAGCAGAAACCTTACTAATTCACCAACATCATTTTGGAGCTAGTATTTGAATGATTCTCTAGTGTAATGTCTAAAGTGATGACAAAAAAGGGGAATGCCATCAATCTAGAGACTTTTCCTAATATTTCTCTTTTGCAATTGTGATTTCACAATAATTACCCCAAAAAAGCCAAAGTGACACAATCACTACCAGATTACTGGTATGTTTGCGATAAGGAAAAATGTTAAACATATGCGGCCATTTCTTCTTTCTTTCTTTTTACTGAACTGGTCTGCCGTAACTAAAACAGGAGACTCATTAGAAACAAACAGATGGCCAAGCAAAAAGTAACTCAGGGTTTTACAAAGAGTGGCCAACACAAAATACATACATTCCTGATATGAGAGTCCCATGTCACACTCAATACAATACATTTACATGGTACAAATACAACACTACAACATACAGAGAGAGAGAGATCGACTTAAAAAATCACTTACCAATTTTATAGTGATTTGATCAGCTGTAGTTTGAAAATACACCAATCTTTTCTCCTCTAAGGGCTTATTATGTGGTCTCTGTCGCCATCTTATGGCTGAACGTCAACCATCTTTGTTCTGCTTTATGACAGGCTGATGGATTCCGACGCTCTGTATCTCAGAATTTAAAAATATTTAAAATAGGCACTATCCTTATGAATAAACTGCATAGTTGCGATCTAAACAACTACATTCTTGCCTAAAAGACTCTCAAGTTCAATATGTGGTTCAACAGCAGCAATATTGGTCTAACTGTAGTGAGTTTATTGAATTGCTAATACTGATGTTCTGATATTGCAGAGTATAGCATGGCTATCAGCCAATCAGATTTGAGAACCAGACAGAACTGTTGTAAATAGAATGTATGAATGAATGTATGTATATCTCAATCATAAAATAAATTAAAGCACAGATGAAAACAATTGAACAAAGATAGAAATTAAATAAACAGAGTCAGTATTGACAGTATTGACCTACAGAAATTCAATAATCCAATGTAAAATACCATGATATAATTATCATGTAAATAAACGCAATTAATCTTGGAAAAGTGGCAAAAAATATTCTTGGTCCAAATGGTTTAACTACACTTGAAATTGCTTGACATCCTGTGACATGACTATTGCAGATTTGCACATTGCGATATCGATGCTGAAATATATTGTGCAGCCCTAATTAATGTAATGTTTGGCTCAGTGTATGCGAATGTACTGCTACCTTACGCCTTTTTATTTATGTGAGCAAACTATTGCTTGTTTCAGAAGAATTAATACAAGTGTTCGTTCTTTCATTTACTGTCTATGTTTGTTTGGTAATATGATTAGCATAACTAGCAACAAATGTTCTGCAATGTGCTTTAGGGAGGTGGTTCTTTCAATTTCAATAGCAATAACTTGCTTAACAAAAATGAACAAATGCTGTTGCTAATCTGTATTTGTTAATGCGTTAACCAACATTTACTAATTGAACCATATTGTAAAGTGTTGCCATTTGACTTTATACATGAGCAAATGCAAACACAGATATAATTCAGTATGTAAATCTGTGTACTAAAGCAGTGTTTCTCAACCATGTTCCTGAAGGACCACCAGCACTGCTTGTTTTGGATGTGTCCTTTGTCTGTCACACCCAGTACATTTCAATCTCTGCTAATGAGCTAATGATCGGAATTGGTTGTTGTTTTTTTGTTAAGGATGCACATGGTTGAGAATCACTGTACTAAACAACAGAATGTCTTAACATAGCCCTACATGAGTTCTATTTTGAGATTGAATTATCTAGCCATTTAGAATGATTTTTAATGGATCCAGTTCAGACCTCTGTCATATTAATTCTGACTTTCTGTTTCAGGCTGTGCGTCTGGAGTCAGCGAGGCCAGTCCGAGTCCGATATTTGCTTATAATTGGTACACTTGACAATAAAGAAGAGAGCCTGCTACTTGGCATGGACTTTCCAAGCTTAAACAGGTAGCATATCTTTTATAAATAACATTGTTGTGTCATTATAATTCTGGATTTATTTCCAATTAAATAAAAGTTAATAGTTCAGTTAAATGACGTACCTGTTTATTTTTTTTGTTTTTTTTTTGTTTTTGGAATATAGTAAGCAGTTATATGACAATTTTTTCTCAAAGTGTTTAGTTACCAGGGTATCCGCAGCATCTTAAAGTCTTAAATTCGCTAAAATATATTGTCTTGTTGGTCTTAAATCATTTTAAAGGGTCTTATCACCAACAGCACATCTTGGTAAAACTTTTAGCAAAACTACTCATAACTAATATTGTAACTGTAGTCTGTTGTGCAAACAATATTTTATTTTTTTAAGAGGTTTTTTTAAGTTATGTTGAACAAAAATGTATGTATACTACTAAGTTCTTCTTGTTTTGACACATTATTTAAAATATGTGGCAAAGAAATGACACACACAGATTTTTCATTTTCAGCCAGGCAGCCCGAGGTCTTTCCAATACAAAATAGTCATGTTTAAGATCTGATTTCATTCAAAATCTGTGATCTTCACTGCCTGTTAGATATACAATATGAAGTGGGTCTCAGATCGTACAAGAAGCACTGCATTCAACTCCATGATTTGATTTTCATTTTTCTTATTTCAAATAACAAAAAATAACATCACTAGAAAACAAAAATGAATAAATGTTTGTTTTTATATTCCGAACCACATATATATATATATATATATATATATATATATATATATATATATATATATATATTTTTTTTTTTATACATATATTTACATATAATTTTTCACTTTCGCCAATTGATGAAGTTTTTTCCCTCGCCGCTGTTGCCACTGGCTTGCATGGTTCATGGAGCTGATTCGTTTGAACTCTTCGCAGTGAATATTAAACCACACTGAACTGAACTCGACACCGAAAACTGGGCTGACACCGTTTTAATTCACTATAATCTTCTATGTGAAGCTGCTTTGACATGATCTACATTGTAAAAGTGCTATTCTAACTAAAGATGCACTGAATTGAATATTATATTTATTATTTTTTTTTACATGGCAGCATTTTTAATGGAACAACATATTTGACGATATATGAATTATTTGCTTTGCTTTACTGAACAGTTTTCTGAAAAAAAAAGTTTTGTGTTAAAATCACTTCCACTTCAGGAGTAAAAGTAACATTGCACATTTGTTTATAATCATTGAACATTTCAACAAGTCATCTCTCCACATTCTAGTTTGAGTATAAAAATAAACATAATTAATTGTTTATTATGATATACAGCATGTTTCAAAAAACACGATCATAGGCATCATAAGCAATAAGCGTATGTATGTATGTATGTATGTATGTATGTATGTATGTATGTATGTTTGTATGTGAATGAAGCCTATCTGGTTTCGGAATATAAAAAACAAGTTTTTATTCATTTTTGTTTTCTGGTGGTTTAATTTTTTTTATTTAAAAAAAAAAAAAAAAAAAAAAATTTAATTTTGCTTTTCCTGTTTTTTCACCATGAAAAAGAAAAACACCTCGCATTTTAATATTCATTTTTTAATTTTAAACGAAAATCAAAAAATGGCTCGTTTTTCAATATCCATTTATAAAATAAAAATTTATTAAATAATAATCCTTAAATCATTAAATAATCCTTAGCCTCTAGCCCTATATAATTCTGAAATTTCATTGTTCATGGTCTTAAATTTGACTTAGTGAACCTGCAGAAACCCTGACTACAGATTTTAAAGAGATTGTTTAAACAGAAATTAAATTCTATCATAGTTTACTTGCCCTCTTCCGTTTTCCCCCTCATATTATAACTTTGGTAACCATTGACTTCCAATGGGGGGGAAAACACATTGGCATTTCCTCAAATGTCTTGTTTAATGTTTCACAGAAGAAAGTCAAATGATTTTGCATTCAGTAGGAGTAAACATGTTTCATTTTGAGTGACCTATACTTCTAAACAGGAACCTAACTTAGTTTTCTCTTACTTTTTTACAGTGATGAGTGCACCATTGGCCTTGTCTTGCCAATATGGAGTGACACACAAGTTTACCTAGATGGAGATGGGTAAGGCCAGAAAGAATAAATAATAGAATTTTAACAGCTAAGAAAAAAAAACTGTGAGCAATCTTAACTTTAATACTATGAAACTGTAGTCTTGATATCATTATCTTATTATCAAAACCAACTTTGAAAACCACATGAAATCTTTCTGTTGTTTCTGTCAAAGTAAAGGTAGCTGTCAGTTCATGAAAAATAAAACAATAACTGTCCTTCAAAGAACAATTCTATGTTATCTGCACGTTTCTGCAGAAGTTTTTGCACTGTAAAGCCTCAACTCCAGAGTTCTGCTTTTCTGACAGTTGGTTTTGCTCGTTCTCTTACAGAGGTTTCAGTGTGACATCTGCAGAAGTGACACGAATCTTCAAGCCTGTGTCCATTCAGACGATGTGGTAAGCGTCAAAGCAGGAAACGCTGAAGAAACAGCCAGTTTCCTCAAACTAGACTGATATGCAGTGTGACTTTGACACACACACTTACATTTGTTTTCAGTTAAAGTGCTGTTTTTTTTTATTAATTATTTTTCTTATTGGTTCTTAGGTGGTTTTAAATGCTATGTACTTGCTCGTTTGAAATAGTTTGCTGATTATTTATGTAAAGGTATGGAAACTATTTAGTGACTTTTTTTTTTGATGCATTGGATTTTCTAGGCATATGTGTGAGAGATTTACTTTTTGTTTAATTCTGCAAACAGTTAACTATAAATCCAGACATAATGACATTTCTGTAATTGCATAACTGTGCATAATTTAAAGTACTGAATCATTTAATTAACCCTTGTGCATTGTTCAAATTGACCACCCTTTCGTTATGTTAGTGGCTGTTTTTACCCCATTGACTTCCATTATAAGGACATTTTTTGATCGCAAAGCAATGCCAGCATAGTATCAAGCATTCTTGATTGCTGGTGGTTTTCCCTGTTGGGAAGTGGTAAAATGTGCAATTTTCACTATTGATCAATTGGCACCATTAACCATTTAGATTACTATGCATTACTATGTTCTGAGAGCTGAGAGCTGAGCTGTTTATTTAGACTTTCTCAGACATGTCAAGGTAAGTGTGCAAAGGTCTCTCTCTCTCTCTCTCTCTCTCTCTCTCTCTCTCTCTCTCTCTCTCTCTCTCTTTCTCTCTCTCTCTCTCTCTCTCTCTCTCTCTCTCTCTCTCTCTCTACTACATATAAAAAAACAGAAATTAAGCTTTTTTTGCATGGTAACTGATGATCGACAAAAAAGAGAGGCAAATTTACCTCTTCCTAACTGGGAAAACCACCATCAATCAAGAATACACAATAATATGCTGGCATTGCTTTGCAATCAAAAACTGTTGTTATAATGGAAGTCAAGGGTGCAAAAACAGCCACTAACATAATGAAAGGGTGGTAAATTTGCCCAGAGGGTATTTTTGAGTTTTTGAAAAAGTTCAAACATTTTCTCAAAATATGTGTCAAAATAGGATTTGTCACGAAAAATAATGCCATTTGCTAAAACACAAAGAACGTTATTGCCAAATTAAGTCTCAAAATCACCCCAGAGTGGATGAAAACCACCCAACAGCACACTACAGTTAACAGTAGTTATACTGTTAACCCCATCAACCTACAAATAACCTTGAGCAAAACTCATTAGCAGTAAATGTAGGAATTTTCCAAAGTAACATGTTAGATAGTAAATAAATGATTTTGTAAGTATTTAATGTTAGTAAAGAGAGAGTTCACCCAAAATGAAAATGTATTTACCAATTACTCAAGTTCAAAACCTGTATGAGTTTCATTCTTTTATTGAACACAAGATATTTTTATATATTTTTTGCTTGCCAGTTGAATTTGTACCATCAACTTTCTGGAAGCCGAAATTCTTCAAAATACCTTTTATTTTGCTCAAGAAATTCATATAGGATGGAACATCTTTAGGCTGAGTAAATTTTCAATTTTGAGCAGTGGTTTAAAGAGTACTGAAAAATCATACTTAAGTAAAAGTACCATTGCTTGCCTAAAAATGAAGTGCTAGTAGAGTAAAAGTTTCTGTTGTAAATATTACTCAAAGTATGAGTGAATATAGTTGGTATTACACTGTAAAAAGCTGATGCATTTACATGTATTTTATGGATGTGTGTAAACGTAACATTCTGTAGTGCATTTAGTTATTGCCAAGGCACATAACATCAAAAGACGTTAATATTAGGTTAGATTTAGGTTGTGACTTCAGGTGACCAAAGTTCAATTTCTCACCAGAATCTAAGGGCAATGTTATTTTGATGACCTAAAATCAACCAAATATTGACGTCATTTGACATTTGGACATGTCGTAAAGTGATCAAAATCCAGTGTATCCAACGTCATATTGACGTCAAATACTGACATTTATTCATCAGGTCTGGCAACCAAAGTCTAACATCTGATAGACATCTTAGTGGTAACATCCACACAATGTCAAGCTATAACATTATTAGACATTAGACATTGATATTTGGTTGATTTTTAGGTTGTATGTTGAACATTGACGTTAATCTGATATTGAGTTCTGACGTCAACTTGATGTTCATTTCCAAATTGGATGTCCCTGCTGGATGTTTAAGGTCATTTCGGTCATCATACTGTAAACATTCGTCATCTTTTCATCAGTGACATGCATCTAAACCAGGCATGTCCAAACTCGGTCCTTGAGGGCCAGTGTCCTGCAAAGTTTAGTTCCAACCCCAATTATACCCACCTGGGCTAGCAAATCAAGCTCTTACTAGGCTTCCTAGAAACATCCTTGCTGGTGTGTTGAGGCAAGTTGGAGCTAAAATCTGCAGGACACCGGCCCTCCAGAACCGAGTTTGGACACCCCTGATCTAAACGGTCTCTGGGAAATGTGTGTAAAGATTTTGGACATTTTCTTGGACACTTTCATGCTTCCAAACAGTTTGTTGAAATTGTAAATTGCCCATGTCTTGAGGTAGTTCATTATGATTTGATTTTCATTTCTACGTGCGATTTTTTTTTTTTTTTTTTTTTTTTTTTTTTTTTTTTTTTTGATTGGACCGGAGTCAAAGGACTGATTTTTCTAATCCTTATAGACAGGAAAATATGTAGCAGTGACTGCAGGTTGAAGGAAAGTAGTGGAGTAAAAGTAGCGATACCGAACTAAAAATGTACTCAAGGGAAAGTAAAAGTGCACATTTTTAAAACTACTTGGTGAATTACAATTCCTGAGAAAGACTACTCGATTGCAGTCATTTAAATATTTGTTATTTGTTACTTTACACCACTGATTTTGAGTGAACTACCCCTTTTTCAAGAGTTCACAATTACAGTAGCTGACGATTGTTAATAAAGCTTGTTTGGCGTGCTGTCCCGGGAGAGAGCCCTGAGTTTATAAGATCCTCAAGCCCTGGGCGCCCTCCCGTTGCAAGGCGAGAGGGGAGTTTGAGCTCAAGTAGATCTCGATGACTCCCCCTCCTGCTTATTGTAGCTAAGTGTCAGATATGGATGCTGAGAAGATGTACTCAAAGTTTGGCTAAAATATTTTGGATTAATTGTTTAGGGGGCTTGTTTTGAACTGTGGGAGGAAACCGGAGGACCCAGGGAAAACCCACGCGACCACGGGGATAATAAGTCATTAGCTAAAGTTGGAACAGCTGTGAACAATCATAAGCATGTGATCCTCTCGAAATGTGTTTATAAATAAACTTCACAAAGCCACCTTTTTAAGTGTTTATTTATTTATTTATTTTTTGTTTTGTTTTTTTCAGATTTTTAGTCATCCAGCTCATGCGCACTGCTAGACAGAAGCTTTTCAGATGTGCTCTCTGACTTTCAAATGTGTTTGTGGTTTGTCGATTGCTTGTTCACAACTCTCTGCCCTATGTTGCTCTCCTTTTTCTGAAGGTCAGTTCTGCAAGCACTGCATGGCTGTTGTGAACGGGCCGTGCGTGGGGCTGTTATACCCAGCAGTGGCCTCGAGTGGGCACAGTTTTACAAACAGAATGTGGAATCTGACCAGCTCTGCCTTAATGAATGGGGGGCTATGACTGGCCTGGAGTCGGTGAGGAAAGACACTGGTGGAAGATCATCGTCGAACAGGGAGTCAGTGGAGAGGGAGATCAAGGCCCAGCTACGAGATATCATGAGGACTGAGGACTTGGAAAACATTACTTCAAAGCAGGTAATAAAAGAGAGGAGGGTTTCTTTTGACTTTATTTTAATCAGTTAATTATTTTAAAGCCATTTATTATTATTATTATTATTATTATTATTATTATTATTATTATTATTATTTGTTTTTATTATTATTATTATTATTATGTGTTTTTATTATTATTATTATTATTATTATTATTACTCATCACTCATACTCGTATTATTATTATTATTACTTATCACATAGTAGTTACCTACTATGAGTTCATAGATAGCTGATGATAGGTAATAAAGCTTATTTGGCATGCTGTCCCAGGAGAAAGCCCTGAGCTCATAAGATCCTCGAGCCCGGGGCTCCCTCCCTTTTGCAGTGCGAGAGAAGAGTTTAAGTTCGGGTACATTTCAAGAACCCCCCACCGCTGGTTTAGGATTGCTATGAGGATATTCTGCTGGTTGAAATTCATGTATGGTGCTGATTTGGTTTAGTCAATTTACTTATGTCTCATGTTTTGGACTGTGGGAGGAACCTGGGGAAAACCCACACGAGGACTGGGAGAACATGAACTCCATACAGAAATGTCAACTGGTCGGGTAAAGACTCGAACCAGAGACATGCTTGATGTGAGGCAACAGTGCTAGCCATAGGGCTGCCGTGCTGCCGTATAGGGGAAAAGAGGGGGAGAGGGAGTCATGCCGAAGATGACTAAAGGCTGGCTCACACAGTGAGCTTTTTTATAATTCTGAATGATTATAGCATGTCAGACTGCACAAACATGGCTCCCATGTCACACTGCAAGATCTCAGCTGTCATAAAGTCAGACTGAATGACAATGAAGATGCGCCAAACACGGAAGAAAACTCTCCCGGAGTTTGACGTCATCCACCTGTGACTTTTTCACTGTCCCGCATTCTGAAATGATGAGGACACATGGCGTGTCTTAATAATAAAACCAGGAAGAAAAAAACAGTTTTGACATTTCCCCGCAGTCATCTAAATTGCTATATGGAATGCGTCATCGAATATGGAGCTCCGATTGGTTCTTGGATTGACGCTCATCCCAGCTGTTGTTACGCTGCGTGAAAGTGTCTCAAAACTTCTGACACTGCCAGAACTTCATCGGAGGGAAAATCTGATCGCAACGAGCACTAAGTGGCTAAGTGACTAAGTGACCACCGATCAAAGATCACAGATTTTATCCAAGGATTTCTGGAATCTTTTAGGATTTCCCAAATTTGTCTCCGATGACAAAATCGTGGCTGAAATCTCAGTGTGAGCCGGGCTCTAGGCAAGACACTTTGGTTATTTATACTAAGTTAAGAATCGTCTGATTGGTGAATCATATGTTAGCTAATGCGGGACCAGCCGTGTCAATCACAAGCATGTGATCCTCTCGTAATAAGTTTATAAATAAATTTCTGTTGATTACAACTAAGGTCTGAAAACATTGTTAGCCTCATTTCAGAGGCTGCATCTTCCAAATGATCCATTCGAAGGGAGCAGTGTCATCGCAGGTTTCATTTTTAATAAAAATTCAAAGTCTCTTTCATATGCAGCCTCACAATGCGTTCTTTATTTCTGAGGTAATGAAGGACACAACCGGTGAATCCTTTGCAGCCTTGAACATCCCAAGATTCATTGCGCACTCATAACAGCAAGACCTTTTTTAAAGAAAACTCTGGATTAAATGTATGAATTAGGTTTATTTTACTTGGATATCTAAACACATGTAAAACAAAAAAGAATATGACGTGTCTTACTAAAAACTGGTTTTATATGAATGGATCTAAGGAATTATCTCCAGCTACTTTAAACCTTGTTTTGCCTTCAGATTGCTTAAAATAAGTTTTAAAATCACTGAAAAAAGTAATTACAGATTTTTTATCGCTTATTAATGGCAACTGTTATGGTTGCCTGGTGATGAGATCTGGATAGTCTCATTTCAAAATGCTCGGTTCTGCTTGTGAGGACTTCGAAGGACTCACCTGAAATGAGACACAGCTATTGTCATTTTCTGAGTATGCACATCACGTTTGAAATATTTTGCGGTTCATTTGAATCTACTTGGAGCTTACAATCTGTAAACCCTTTCCTTTTATAAGCCAACTGCCCTTCTTGGTCAGCTGTCACAAGCAGCCGTTTCTTCCCCGGCTGGTGGGGAATTTGCAAACATGTTACTTTGATCTAGTTGACGTAGGGAAAATTTTGAAAAAAAAAAACTGATTTGTTTTGTTAAGGTGATCCAGAGCAAGTGCTTACTTTTGAGAAGCAAAATCTTAATCATGCACTTGTTTTTAATTAACAACTTGGCAAACTTTTGAATTATTATTCAATTATATTATGATCCTATTCTACCTGACTACGAGCAAACAGTGAATAAAAAGAGAAGCAAATTAAATGGAAGTGCACTCAAAATGTTTTTGGATTGAATGTTCAAACTAATTTAAAATGAGCTGCAACAACACAATTCTTAAGGGGTTTTTGGGACAACTTATTTGTTTTAGGTTCAATCCACTTAGATATGTAAATACTAATACGTTCATTTAATTCCTTGTTGTCTCAACACAAATGGACAAATGAATTCAGCATTTTTTGGCTTATCACAATACCGGAATTCGATACCAATTGATACTTAACTTTTAAAAACGTCCATTTTCCGCTAACATTTGAGCGCTACCAAGCACACTCTTAAACGGCACTGATTTGCCATTGTGGTTATGTGCTCAACAGAAATGACTGTGATTTGGCCGTAAAGGTCATCGATTCACCAAACTCACTGCTGTTTACTAAATGTAACCACAGATACAGAGACACTGGAGTGTTTCAAAGTCACGTCGATCAGCTAGTTTGTCTGTAAGCTGACATATGAGAGATCTGCTGATGAATTGCGGCTTTATAACGCTCCAGTGTCTCTGTGATTACACTCAGTAAACAGAGTTAGGTTCGATAAACTGATGACCTTCACGGCCAATCATATATTTCTGTTGAGCATGTGAACACAACGGCAAATCAGCGCTGTTTAAGAATACTCAATAGCGCTCTAATGTTAGCTGGAAATGGATGTTTTTAAAACCTTAGTATCGAGTGGTATCGAATTCCATTATTGTGCAACTCTAGTTTGGATGGTAAGCACTATTTATTTCAAAAATCATGTTTTTGGTTCAGTAATGTAAAAAAAAAAATGTTTACTGCTTTATACATGTGCTGCTATAATATGTTTAATAGTGAATGCTTTTTAAAAAATGTAGTTTGGGAGAACGAAAGAAGTGCAGTTGGACTGGACAATGATAATATCCATTGATGGAGATTTGTCTGTGCAGTTTATCTGTAAATATGCCCATGCAGCACAGGACTGCTAATACATATTATAGAGCAGCAGAGAAACACAGACGAATGTGAAGAAAATGCGGGATGTGTTTGATGAGTCAGTAACAGCACACCAAACTGCGAATGAGAGTGGCAAATGGCATCTGTGGCACACACTGAATTCATTTAACTTTTGCGTCTTATTGTGCGTCAGTGGTGAAATACACTCTTATGTGTCAAAATGCCCATCTTAGCACTGTTCATTATGTCTAAATTGAAAGTAAAGCGTTGGGGAGTCATCTGGTCTTAAATCGACAGCTCTCTCATACAGAGCCATTAATATGTATGTTTTTATGTATATTATATATCTCTTATAACTAATAATTATAACAACTAATCATTTTTGGGTTTGTTGCCCATCCCTCAATAATTTAGTATTTTGAAGTTTTACTAAATAATTTTTTGGTTTTCAAAGGAGTGCAAGCCCTAACAAGAAAGATAAAGGAGTGCAAAATCCCACCTTCAGATTTATTTCATTTTAAACAGGTCTTAATTTTCCAATGTCCATGAAAGGCTACTTATTCAGGACGAAACCATTCGATCACCAGCAGTTCATCGTAATAGAACTTTTAACAAATAGGTACATTTTTAACTCTATTTACTGATGTAGTTGAATTATTTTCCTTACAATAATATTTATTTAAAAGTTCTCCATTTATTTCTGGCGAGGACATTGACCTGGAAATGTTACGTTAAAAAAGTGCAAAATTAGATTTTTTTTTTTTTTTTTTTTTTAGGATAGTAAAAATCTTTTCCTTTTCTATTTCTTTTCATAATATATTCCTTTTCTAAAAATATCCTAATAGTGTTGAGCCCCATAAAAGTCTGAAATGTCATTAACATTGGTCTTAAAAGGTATTTAAAAGTCATAAATTTGACTTTAAGAAACCTGCAGAAATCAGTGCTCTGAATGGAATGAGTGCTCAGTGCCTAAAACAGGAAGAAAATCAGTTTTTTTTTTTTTTTTTTTTTTTTTTTTAACTCAAGACATGTTTACAAACCCTAAAGGTCATTATTGCAACAGAAATCAAACTGTTAAACATCTTCTCGTGGAATACCCTATTTTTATGTTATCAAACAATAACATTTATCTAGAGAGACTTTAAATGAAATGTTTTTTAATTGTGAATCCTTGTAAAATTGTACAATATTTATATATAAAAAAACTTTTAGATTTGAATATTCCATATTATCATTATGATTATTTGTGTATTATTTATTGCTGTTGATGGCTTTTTAATTGTTTAAATATTTGTACAATTATAGAAAAGTGATATTCATAAAATGTGGTAAACTTTTTTTAATTTATTTATGTATTTTTTTTGCCATGACATAGCCAGAGAAGCTGATATGGCAATAAACTCAAAATGCTCACTCAAAGGTGTGCACAGGATTTCTTTATGGTGGCCTCTTTAAAGTCATCCAAAAATACTGCAGTATTATGAACTTCCGTATTGTTACCATTTAAGTATTTACTGTAAATATTTCTTTTTAATTATTGGAAAATTGAGATTTGTCAGCATTAAGTATCACATAATCTTTCTGAGGTCACACTAATATACATGTTTGCTGCTCAATTCGCATTTACTATTTGGAATATTGAGTTCAGTTGTGCTGCTTTAAAAACATTTAACATTTTACAATATCATTTTGTGAATAAATACAAACCTATTAGAACTCTTTAAAAGTCTTTAATGTCACCTTGCCTGTTTAGCATGTCTGTTCTGAATACATACAGCATATATTTCCATTCCAAAAAAAAAAAACTTTCTGACCTACGATACATCTGAACAGCAGTCTAAAGACACATTTTTAAAGACCCCGTTCCTCCAGAACTCACTCAGTGTTAATGTGTCTGAGCTTGTTGTCTTATCCAGAGAATCTCTGTGGCATGACATTCAGGCAGTTACCAAGTCAGCAGCTTGATTAAATGTTCTTAAGCATTATTATATCATGTGACATGCCACTTAATGCAATCTGTATCTCAGACCTATGGTCTCTGTTATTAGTCTCTATGAATGAGCTACAAGCCCTGTGTGTGTTTGTGTGTGTTTGAAGGTGCGAACATCTCTGGAATCCAGAATAGGCATCGACATGAAAGACTACAAGGAGTATATTGACAACGAGATGATGGTCACAATGGCACAGATGGACAAACCTTCCAGAATATTGGACTACCTTTACTTGGTGAGTGATGATTAAGCCAATTTGTCCCACCAGAAATCAAACAAAATGATCAGTTTCAGTTCTTTTGAATGAAAGCTCTCCAAACAGGAAGTGCAACCCATACTTTGAAATGCAGTAGTCATGTGCAGAAAAAGGTGGATATGTTGAACCATTAGTTTTTTTTTTTCAGGGTTCAGAATGGAACGCTGCCAACTTTGAAGAACTACAGAAGAACAAGTATGTTGATTATTAGGACTATAATAATTTTACATATAGCCTCTTTTATTTAGTTAGAGTTTAGTAGCCATTAAAGAAACTGCGGCTGACAAATTTGTGTTTGTGTTGGTATTTATAATATTTTATGTCTTATTTCTTACATATATCCCCTTTAAATAGTCATATTTTTTATGTTCTATGCAGAAGATGAATTAAAAACACTTGTTTTTGATAGTGTGGGCTACATCCTGAATGTTACCATGGAGATTGACAACTTTTTCCCAGAATGCTTCACCTATATGAATATTCGAGTGTATGATGTGGAGGCGACTGACCTGCTGTCACACTGGAACAACACATACATGTTCATCAATGAAGCAAGGTGCTACACACACACACACACACACACACACACACTATTTGGGCTTGTTATTGGCAATTTGTAGGTTTGCACTTGGATCCAAGTTTATAAAAAAAAAAAGTTAATAAACATTATTTATATTGAAATAATCTGAGGGTAGCTCAATGATTAGCACTATTGCCTCACAGCAAGAAGGTTACTAGTTCGAGTTTCGGGTGGGTCAGTTGGCATTTCTGTGTGGAGTTTGCATTTTCTCCCCATGTTGGCGTGAATGAGTGTGTGGATTCCCTTCCAGCTGCAACCCAGTACTTGGAAACATTCATACAGTGTAAAACATATGCTGGATAAGTTGGCGGCTCATTCCAAGAACTGGGTAGAATTGCTATATAAATAAATATATATATATATAATTATTATTATTATTTTTTATTTTTTTTTTTATAATCTTGAATTATAGTTTTTTTAGTATCCAGATTAAACATTAACACGTTTATTTATATAGCACATTTCATACACAGTGACAATTCAAAGTGCTTTACATAAACAGGAATAAAAGAAACAAGTATAAAAAATAAAAACAAATAATAAAATTGATAAAAAAACAAGAACAGTTTTAAAGAAGAAAGTTATTAAAGAATGAAAAAGAAGAGAGAAACATAAAAGTGAAAAGAAATGAAATTAATGTTTGTGTGAAAGAGAAATGAACAGAAAATGGTGGCTCATCTTGAGTGCGTGTATTTATATATTTTTATAACTGCCAGGATTATGCAAACTGGGACATAATGAAGGCTATTTTGATGTTTTGCCTGTATTGGCTGTTGGTCAAATATTACCACAATGATAATAAGTAATTATTAGTAGGCTAGTTATTGTGACATAAAGAGAATAGCTGGGAGAATTGCATCGGATAGACAGACAGACACACTGATTATGTTCTAGTATGTCTAACTGCCCTCTACCTAATGCTGACATTGTTGTCTTTTTCTCATGCTGGTACAGGAAGAGTGGACAGGCGGTCCTGGTGCATTGTAAGATGGGCGTCTCTCGCTCTGCCTCCACAGTAATTGCTTTCCTGATGAAACAACAGGGCTGGACTTTAGATCAGGCACTCAACCACGTGAGAGAAAGACGGCCTATTGTGCAGCCCAATGAAGGTTTCCTCAAACAGCTGAACACGTACAGCGGCATCCTTAACGCCAGGTGACTTAAGCTCTCATAGATCAACAAGTACTTGTGTAGCGTCTCAATAGACACGTTCAGGTACAGACATGTCAAGTGTGGTTTGTTGTTTAACCATGTGCACACTTTGTTTTTTTCCCTCAAGTTTTTAGTTTAGCCATTTTTTCCCCAACTTTGTCACAGGAGAACTATGTCGCATAAAACTGGAAATATACAGCTGAAGTCAAAATCATTAACCCTCCTGTGTTTTTATTTTTCAAATACTTCTCAAGTGATGTTTAACAGAGCAAGGAACTTTTCACAGTATGTCTGATAATATTTTTTTCTACTGGAGAAACTCTTATTTGTCTTATTTCAGCTACAATAAAAGCAGTTTTAAATTTTTTAAGGTTAATAAAATTAGCATTTTTTCCCTGATTTTTCTACAGAAACAAAAATCATTGTTCATTATACAATGATTTGCCCTAATTTGCCTAATTAACCTAGTTAAGCTTTAAAAATTGCACTTTAAGCTGACTACTGGTCAGTGTTGCCAGCTTGTAAATATCAAAGTATCTAACCAGAACCTCAAAATTATCGTATTTGCAGGAATATTATTATACACGAGTCAAATAGAAAGTATACAGCTATTATCTAGACCAGGGATTCTCAACCAGTAGTGGGCCTCCCTGATCCTGCAGGTGGGCCTCAAGAATAATTAAATTAAAAGAACAAAATAATTTAAAAAATAATTAAAAATTAACTTTCAGTATTATACTTTAAATTTGAGTGAACTGTTTTGAAACAATGTGCAAATTACCATAATACATAAAAAAGCCATACCTTAGTGGGAAGGTTCCACCTCCAAGTTGCTGTTATTGGATACTTGTGTGTTGCCAGATGTTGAGGGATTAATTTTGTAGTACAATTTGGATTTCTTCATGGACCACAAGTGCTGGTTGGCTTGAAAGCAGTGCACCCTGCCAAATTTTTTAGCACACTTTGAGGTGTGATACCCATTCAGATTATCTGTAATGAGCCGATTTTTGTGGCTTTGTTTTGATGAGATTAACTTTAGAAAAAACCCACATTTAAATAGGGAGAAACGAGAACTTGAAGGGCAAACTCCCCTGTGCTTCTCACTTCCTTTTCAGCACTAATTTTTTTAACTTTATTTCTTAATTGATCGATCTCATCCTGAAAACTACTGATCTAAGCATGACCGCATGCGGCAGGAATGTTAACTGATGAAAGAGCCATTCTCCACATTGACTGGCTGAGAAGATGTAACATAGGATGAGATTGAAAACGTGTAACTCCACATTCTCCTCAGAGACAATGACAAAAGATGTAGCTAGATCAATAAGTATAGAAGCCCTAAGATTACAATAAAAATAATTTTAAATACCATAAAATTCTGAAGTTATCATTCATTAAAGATTTTTTTTTAATTATTATTGATCGTACAGAGGTCAAAATTATCGTACAAATGCAATAATTATTGTACATCTGGCAACACTTCTATTTTATCTTGAAAAATATCTAGTCAAACATTATGTACTGTCATCATGGCAAAGAAAACCGTAATCAGTGATTAGAAATTGGTTATTAAAACTATAATTTTTAGAAATGTGTTGAAACAATAGAATTCAGGAGGGCTAATAATTTTGACTTTAATCTGCAAAAAAGCTTTTATTAGTATAGCAAAAAAGAGAAAATATACAGTTAGAGTTTACACTGCATTGTTTGTTTACAGCAAGCAGCGCCACAGTGCCCTCTGGAGGAGGAAGTCCAAAGCAGATGCCCGTCAGCCGTCAGTACACAACGAACAAGCGACAGGGGATGAAAATGAAGAGAAAGAGGAAGAGGAGGAGGAATCGCAGAGTCCAGATGAGGAAAGCAGCGAGGAGGACACTGATGTAAGGGAATTTTCCATATAACAAATATTTTATGAAGGTTATCTGCATTTCTTGATGAGTTTATTTATTTCTGTCCTCCTCAGGTGTTTGAACAGATGTGTGAGAATGTTCTGGATACTGGAGAGGCAGAATCCGCCACATCCAACCAGTTTCTTTCTATACAGGAAAGTGATAAGGTTAGCAAAGAGGCTGAAATTTCACTACACTTGAACATTATTTAAAAAATATTTTTATAATATAATAAATAATGGTTGTTTTTTAATGATTGCAACACTTGATTATCTAGGTGTCGTCCAGCCCGAGCAGAAGTGGCAGGATGGATTTGTTTTCTCTTATGCAGTCTATTCAGCTTGACGATGAGGATCGAGGGATGGATAAAGAGGTAAGAGGAAAAGTCTGGGTTAGAATGCAAATTGATTGATAAAAGAATTTGAAATGCATAGTCAAACAAATGCAAATTAAGGGCTAAGTCAGGGGCAGGGCCGGCGCGTCCATAGAGGCGACCTAGGGCCGTCTAGGGCGTCAGAATAGATAAGGCGGCGCCCGCGACACTACCCTCACCACCCACGCCCTCTGTTATATCCGCGTCCCCAACACTACCCTCACCACCCGCGCCCTCGGTTATATCCGCGTCTAGGGCGGCAGAATAGAGAGGGTTGGGGTTCAGGACGGTCCAGGAGGGCCGGTGTCCTGCTCCAACTTGCTTCAACACACCTTTACAGTATTTAAAAGCTGGAATTTTGTTATTTTTATGAACCATAAAACAAAGCTTATTGTAATTTTATTTATATAGATATATATGTGATGCATATATGCATATATGCATATATATATATATATATATATATATATATATATATATATATATATATATATATATATATATATGTGTGTGTGTGTGTGTGTGTATGTATATATATATATGTGTATATATATATATGTGTATATATATATATGTGTATATATATATATATGTGTATATATATGTGTATATATATATGTGTATATATATATATGTATATATATATATATGTATATATATATATATATGTATATGTATATATATATATATATGTATATGTATATATATATATGTATATATGTATATGTATATATATATATATATATATATATATATATATATATATATATATATATATATATATATATATATATATATATGCATGTATATATATATATATATGCATGTATATATGAGTACACCCTCAGAAATCTCCTATTTAAATTAATATTTTCTTTAGGATGCTTATATTTGTGCACATACATTAGATAGGTCACGACTGAAGCCAAATCTGGAGCTTATCTAACAAAACATCTCGCACTAACGGTTCAAAAATTAGTAGCCTAAAAGTATCTTTTTTAGGAAAAACAATAAATAAAAATTTCAAAAATAATAACAATTTTGTTGAAATGTTGTAGTTTGTAATTCTATTTAGCTATATTTTGCATGAATTTTAATGTATTATTAAATGTGCTTTAATAAATATATCTGTTTAATAAATCTGTTTTGTTCAAATGCACCAATATATATTACCCATGTTCACTGAGAAGTGGATACAAAGATTTATTTTCAAAAGTTATGCTGAGCACTGTGTATTATTAAAGTTAAAGGCAAAATGATGAGCGCTCATGTAACAAGATTCATTATTTTTCAAATATTTCCCAAGTGATGTTAAACAAAGCAGATTATTAAATAGAATAGGTTTTAATGACTCATTTCTATAAACATTATTTACTGTCATGGCACAGACAAAAACTATTTCATTGTTTTTGTTAGACATCAAATTTGCTGTTGATAATTATTTTTTAACTTTGAAAATGGTTATTTTGCAAATATTAGTATTCAGGTTAAAGTGCCTTTTTTAATGGCTGAACTCTTGCTCTGTTAAACATCATTTGGTAAATATATACAGTTAAAGTCAGAAATATTAGCCCCCACTGAATTTTTAGCCCCCATATTTATTTTTTCCCCCAATTTCTGTTTAACGGAGAGAAGATTTTTTTTCAACACATTTCTTAAACATAATAGTTTTAATCTAGTTTTAGGCTAAATGTTTTTCAAGACACTTCTATACAGCTTAAAGTGACATTTAAAGGCTTAACAAGGTTAATTAGGTTAACTAGGCAGGTTAGGGTAATTAGGCAAGTTATTTTTTAATGATGGTTTGTTCTGTAGACCATCGAAAAATTTAGCTTAAAGGGGCTAATAATTTTGACATTAAAATGGTGTTTAAAAAATTAAGAATGATTTTATTCTAGCTGAAATAAAACAAATAAGACTTTCTCCAGAAGAATAAATATTATCAGACATACTGAGAAAATTTCCCTGCTCTGTTGATCATCATTTGGGAAATATTGAAAAAAGAAAAAATTTCAAAGGGGGGGCTAATAATTCTAACTTCAACTGCATATAAATAATTAAACTAATAGTTTTGCTGTATACAATACACAAGTCGGAAACCCTTTTATGCCAGGCTTTTATCACTGCAAGTCTCTTGATTTAGTGAAAATTATTTTTAAGGTATCATGGGGGATGTAGTTTTTTTTCTGAACAAATGTCACAATAAATTAAAGTAATAATATACTAAGCAGTGTTGGGTACATTCCTTTATAAAAGTAATTAGTTATAGTTGCTTCTCACAAATAGTAACTGAGTTAGTAACTGAGTTCCATCATTATAAAAGTAACTAATTACTGGGGAAAGCAACTATTGCCTTACTTTAAATACAATTTTAATCTGTCAAATGACTAAAATAAATATAAAACATTGTAGAGTGATATACACTATTTTAATGTTGTTTTGGGACAATGTGAGAGACAACGGCAGCACTATATATCTAGATATTATTTTGGTTTAGTTCTGTCTGAGTAATAAGTGTTTGCAGTGGAGTTTTATTTGCTTTGACGTCGTGGCTTCGTTTCCTCGTGTAGCCACTAATTTTGTAGCCTCATGACTACGTCATGACTACGACTACTAGGTGCTTCATTAGATTATAATTATCTGTACGATAAGTTGCACGATAAACATTCTCGTCTTTCACCTGTGTGAGGGGAAAAGTAGTGCTTTATATTTCCAGTTTGCCAATGCTACCTTTTGAACTTGTAGAATTTGCCATCGTTCTGACTCTTGGTCATTGGTGTGTGCCACTGACTGTGTGCGTGAGCTTGTGTGTGAGTGTGACGGAGGCCGGCTAGTGAAGTACACCTCACTCCTCTAGCATCTGTCGCTAGAGTAACCTTAGAGGTCAGAGGCCATAGTCTTTAGCCTCCTTGGTAGAGCAACGACTCCCATGCGGAAAGTTGCCGGTTCAATCCCAGCTCAGAAGCGTGTTTGGGCGATGTAGGACCGGTGGGGTTACATGAACACCCACACTACTGCTCTATCTAAGCCAATCATCACATTCTCATTCACACTACAGTTACATTCATGTACAACAATAATCATCACTGGTTGGTCATGTTCTGTGTCCCGAATGTTTAACTGGATTTAATCAATAACATCTGCCCTCTAAAACAATTTTGGTTGACACATTTATTATCTTTGTCTTTCGGGAATTTTTAATCTTCATTATCATTATTTATTTTTTCACCGAATGCAAAAATCCTTTAACTGAAAGATCTAAACACTTTTAGATGAGCGTCTGTCAGAGACTTTCTCCAGGACAGAGACGGCGGAGTCAGGGAAGAAGAGGTTTGACTTATCAGAGAGCACACGTGGATGCTTCCCCTGAGCCCAGCAGCCGACAGACTCAACACACAAACAATGATGAAGCCAGACTCTGAAACGCTTCAACAGCCTCTTAAAATGATGGAGAAAAGTGAAAAGGTGAGGAAAAGGAACACAAACAGTCATGCTAACACAAATGGACGCTCTTGCACACAAGTCTTATCCTTCTGATTGTATCATTCCACGGTTTTAAAGATTACAAACAAGGTTCTTTATTCATATATTTGCTGTACTGAAGCTCATTTAGGTCATTTCACTTAGAGGTAATGAATATGTCATCCATTTTTGCATCCATCTAGCCTGAAAATCATAATCCGTGGTGATTTTTCAGGTGGATTGTAGTGAGTATTATTGATGCTGTTTTCTTCAGAGCATTATCATTCAAAATTGTGCCTTTTTGAAATCTCCGTATTCTTTGCACCTTCATATATTGAGCCATAATATTCAGTTATTTCACAGGTTTTACTATAGTGTTATAGAGTGAATGGAGTGTTTCGTTAGCTGTATCCATCATGATGTTATACAGAAACATGACCAGAACAGCTATGGGGGAAACGTTAGGAGACCGCCTGAAAAATTCTCTAATGTTTTTTATGATAAATCATTAGTTCCTTTAGAACAAGTCTTAAACTCAGCCGCAGCTCTGCAGATTTTAGTTCCAGCCACCTCCAACTCACACCTACTTGATAGTTTCTAGTAGTCTTGAACTCTGTGATTAGTTTAGTGTGTTTGATTAGGGTTAGAGCGAAACTGTGCAGAGCTGCGGCCCTCCAGGAATCCAGTTAGAGACCTACATGTATGCTTTAGAACAGGGGTCACCAAACTTGTTCCTGGAGGGCCGGTGTCCTGCAGATTTTAGCTCCAACCCTAATCAAGCACCTCTGAACCAGCTAATTTAGCTCTTAGATATACTGAAGTGACTAGAAACTTCCTGGCAGGTGTGTTCAAGCAAGCTGGAGCTAAACTCAGCAGGATACTGGCCCTCCTGGACCGAGTTTGGACAAATTTCAAATAAAAATGTCGTCATATAAAGCTATAAAATTTTCCACACATGCATTTATATTCATTTTCAGACAACACCATTCCAGTGTTTAAACTTCAGACGTTAAGACAAAAAATGTATTTTCGTACATAGTTTGTGTCTTGTTTCTAGTCCAAATATCTAAAAATTCTTAAATCAAGAAAAGGTTTGTAGGCAAGCAAAACACATTGTCTTGTTTTCAGAAATAATATGCCAATATTAAGTGAGTTTTTCCTTAAAACAAGCAAAATAGTCTGCCAATAAGGTAAGAAAAATAATCAAGTTTTTCCTTTTGACAAACGATTCTTTTGCTTACCCCATTGGCAGATTATTTAGCTTGTTTTTAGAAATAATATGCCAATATTTAGTATTTTACCTTAAAACAAGACAATACATTTTGCTTACCTAGAATTTTTTTTCTTGATTTAGAAATTTTTAGAAATTTGGACTAGAAATGACAAAAAAATCCAAGCAAGAAAAGCATTTTTTGCAGTGTATTTGCTGGAATAACCCTGATTCTCAAAAATAAGTGCTGTAAATGACAACATTTGGATAACATTTAATCAAACACTTATAGATTTAAGTTAAATGTTAATATTTGTTTTATTCTATATCTAAATAACCATTAAATCATGAGAAACTGAGTTTTTTTTTAAGCGGCCTCCTAATTTGCACCATACCTTGTTGTTTTTTATGAATACGAGTGTGTGCGCACTCATTTGAACAGTCCTATGCAATAATCTACTTTTAATAGCTGTTTCTTCTCCATGAATGTGAAGCTTTATGCTGCCTGTGTGGAGATCAGTTTGTGAAAAAAGGTGTTGAGAAAGCAATTGAGGATTGAACATTTTAGTATTCTATATAGCAGGGGTGCCCAGCCTCAGTCTTTGAGGGCCGGTGTCCTGCATATTTTAGTTTCAATTTCAAGCAGCTAATCAAGCTCTTTCTAGGTATACAAAAAACTTCCATGCAGGTGTGTTGAAGGAAGATGGAGCTAAACTATGCAGGAGTTTGAGCACCCCTGCACTTCCATTTAATTCCATTTTGGTGTCAGAAAGATTTTTCTATTTATAAATCAGTGCTGTTTATTCAGAGACGGAGCAATTAAATTGATCAAAAGTGACACTAAAGACATTTATTACTGCTTTTTTAACTTTTCAAGTTCTTCTTAACAATATTATGTAAATAAATACAAATATTTAGTACCAGCATTTGGTCATTATGAGAAATGTTTCATTCCGTATTAAAAAAAATCTAATATATTTCTGCTCATTCATTAAGCTGATGATTTTATCCAATATGAGAACATGTATATAATCCATTATAACTAAAGAATTACACTATACAATTTTTAAATAAACAACTTCAGTAACACTGTAGTTTAGGTGACGATTCTTGTGAGATCCAAAGGTTTGCATTCATATAATTATAACCTGTTTCTAAATGGTTTGGCTCTGAAAGTGAGGGGAGACGTATCCCCACCGTCCTCCCCGTTGCTATGCCCCTGACCAGGTGATTAACTATGAGGTGCTGGAGTTAACAAAAGGCAAGCACACGCAGAAATCCCGAGTATGCAGTAGAGCTCATAATTACACTATTGATCAATCATGTTTACAAACAAAACGCCACATTAAATGGCGCTAATACCATTTTAAACGTCGCTAAACACAGCCTTCTGATTGCAAACGGCGCAAATAACGTGCGTAAATCTTAAAAAAATAAATATATAAATAAAATAAACACAGTTTTTGGTATTGGCGCCATTTTGTTTGTAAAGTTTATTGATTAATAGTGTAATTGTGAGCTCTTTGGCTTGCCATAACTGAGTAGTCTCTCCCACGTACTCTGTCTCTCTCGCGCTTACTCACTCTCTTTGAGTTCGCTTGGGTTTTGTTCACTCCCGTGCCTGATAACTAACAGTATATCAGTAGTTCTGAAGTATGATCTTATTCTACATGCCTAATCATCCTACCCAATACCTAAACCCAATTTCTACTCTACTAATGTTACTAAATATTAAGCTGGCATAGTGTTAGTTAATACCATGAGTTGTGACCAAAAGTGTCAGCAAAGCTTTTTATTATGACCTGTAATAAACATCACATTTTTACTGTGTTTTTAAATAAATAATTGCAGCATTTTAAAAAGTCTTTCTGACTCCACTTTTGAATGGTTAAGTTGCTAGACGGTGATGTTTTTAAAACTTCTGAGCTATTTTCACATCTTTTGCAATTAAGCAGATGTTGTCTAATATGTTTTTAAAATGTACAGTATGTAGGAAACAACCTGAGAAGAAAAAAAAAAACAAAAAACCCTGAGTGTTTTCCTGAAAAAAAAAGTGCCACGCTTATGTCTGTACTCTTTCGATCATTCTGCATGATGGCTCAGTGCCTTTAGTAGATAGAGGTGGACTGAAAGAACTACATTTGTTGTAACTAACTAACTGTTTGTTAAGCTGTTATGGGCTGGTTGATTGGTGTGTGTGTGTGTGTGTGTGTTTGCATGATGTCGCGTGTATGCATGCTGTTTGTACTGTATGTGAAGCATGTGTCCTCTGTATGTATAAAGTATATACAATCTGCTGTAAAACATTTGTTTATTCTGTCTTCGCACAAAGTGCCAAATGTTGTGAGACCAAAGTTCTGTTGCGGGATGTTTTTAGTTTGGGGCTCCACCAGTTTTGCATTGTTTTTCCACAAGAATGTCTTTTTAAATGATGATTTATTGGTTCTAGATGAGGACACACAGCCTTCAGAGCGCTGATTTGTTTCCCCTCACCGGGTGTATAATGTGCCATGCCTTATCAGCTTCACAAAAAGGTTCTTTCATTTGGTCTGATGTATAACTGCAGTTTTATTGTTCATTATTGGCATTAAATATGTCAAGGTTGCTGTTGCTTTTTGTTTTCTATTTATGACTGATCTGAACAGGTATGTTTTTAATTTGATATTCAAGGTTGTGTGTGATATAAGAATTAAAATGAATTTGTTATGGGATGTGGACTTTTTTTTAATTGCTTGTTTGTTTCATAAAGAAGATATTTGTTCTCATTAATATGATTGTGTCTGTGCTCGAAATTTATGAAAAGAAAATTATGGAAATGTATTATGCTTGTGCACTTTTTTTCTATAAACTGTGATAGCATTGACACATTTCAAATAAACATTGTTTGTAATAATTTTTTTTTTCATAAAATGAACCTAATAAACATTCAATGTTGTCTAATTTATATATATATATATCTGTATATGAATATACAGCACAAGTTGGTTCATGCAAAAGTTATTTTCTTATTTAGTTTAGCAAGATCATTAAATGTAAAACTCAATACAAATCTCTTCAAATATGAAAACAAAAAATTCAGATTTATACTATAGTATATTAGTTATTGATCATTTCTAGTAATTAGTACATTAACGCAAGACACTGTGCCTAAAGTATAACTTAAAAAGGGGGGGGGAAACTGTGAGACTGCAAGCTATTCTTTGTCTTTAAACAAAAGTTTTATTTTGAAATACCAGTAACAAGTAATCTATAATGGATTACATTTTAGGAGGTAAATTGCTCAATGCTAGCTATATATATATATATATATATATATATATATATATATATATATAATATAAATAATGCATGTCCAGACTGCGGATCTGCCCAAAACATTTGACCAGAGGGGAACTCTGGCACCCTGGCTGATCTTGGTTTCTCAAAGGTTTGTGCTTCACTTCTATCAATTGGTAAAAGTTTGTTTCTCTGACACCATAGCCTGTGGGGTTGGAGTAAGGGTTGAAATGTGTTTTTGTTTTTTAACTCTCGTTTCATGAATATTATGCTGCTTTGACAATCTACAATGTCAAAAGTCTACAGAAACAAAGATTACTTGAGTATATATGATATTGCAGAAATAAACGTGCATGATGACTTTGTTGCATTAATCTATGCATAATTAATTGATTATTTACATGACACATTTCAGCGGTCCGTTCTTTGTACCTCACTTAAATGATCCTTGTAAATGATCTCAAGCTTATTTGGTTCTTCAAGCAAGTTCACGAATCAGATTCTATCTTCCTCAAAATCATGATCAGCAATGCAACATTTGTCTGACGGCATCATCTGATTAATATTCAATCATCCATGTGAGCAAAAGTACATAAATTCTTAGTAAACTGTTAAATATGATGCAAAATAACTTTCCACCTTTGTTGTGAGCTGCAGGCTTTAAATTGTCATGTGTCAAGAGTATTAAGCAATTTAACAAAGTATACATTTTACAGTGGATTTATATATATATATATATAATTTGCAAAGTGTATAACTACTACTGTAAGAAAATATCAGAATAAAACTTTCAGTATTATCTTTGTTTGAAAAGACATGCTCTAATCCTGTTTATATAAATGAAGCTGCTGCTACCAGGGGTCCGTTCTTCGCACGTGGATTACTTAGTTAGCTGGATTTGGATATTGACGATTTGACACGATCCAGGATTGTTTTGTTCTTCAAAGCTGATTCGAGAGTTGTCGTCATAGCAACAGTTCTGCTAGCTCAAACCTGATCGGGAGCAGGTTCAATTCATATAAACAGGATTAGATCGGCTCAGTTCAAGCAAAGAAAATAGAGAAAGTACCGAATTCTGATATTTTCTTACAGTAGTAGTTATATACACTTGGGAAAAC